GCAGTGTTTGGCGCCAAAAATTGCCTTGACAGTTGGCAGAAACCATAAAAATAAATTGCAGAGATGATGAACAAACAACGTACGGCGCCGAAGAGAAAGCTATCGAGCAGAACGACATCTAAGCAAAAAGAAACAGTGAAGCTTAAGCCACTAGAAGAGAAAGCTGAAAAAACAGCAGCCTCAAAACCCCCAAAATATTGGACGCCATTTTCTGTGAAGCATAGACGAAAGTTTGAACGTCTTTTAGAAGTGTGGAAAAGTAATCCTGAATTGATAACAATAGTAAATGATAATGGTGTATGTTTCAAAAAAGAGTTCGTGATAGGCAGGGGCAGTTACGGCACAGAGGTGTATATATGCTTGGGATCTGACGGAATAGAACGAGCGATAAAACGTTTGCCAAAATTCTTGTGTGATAAATTCTTGAGGACTGAACGAGATATCTTGAATTCTCCGAATGCAGTCGAGTCGTCACGAATTGTGAATTTTTATCTCTACGATGACACTTCCAACCTTGATTTCGATTATTTGATTCTGGACTTATGTGAACAGAATCTTAAAGAATTTATCAGGGAGGAAGGCGAAAGCTGGTGGACAGAATCTTGTGCTAGAAACATGATACGCCAAGTGTTGGAAGGGTTGGAAGCACTACACGCTAGAGAGCCTAGAATTCTGCACAGAGATTTGAAGCCAACTAATATACTTGTTGATGTGCATGGTAATTTACTGCTGTCTGATTTTGGTATTGGACGGTTTTTCCCAGAACAAGGTATATTTTTTGCACAAGATATATATTTACTGTAACAGATCTATTGTCTATTGAGGTATACACAGAGGGCCTGTGGCATTAATTTTAAACACTGAATTCAGAGAGATTCAAAAACATTTTATATTTCATGAGTTGAAAAGTTGCCAGCTCTAACCCATGATTCAAGGTTGAGGAGATTCAAGCGGAATCGATCCGGTTATGATTAGGAAATAAATAGATGGCTCGTAGGACTGTTCGATATACCGAAAATATCGATATTAAATCAATATCGGTATATCGATACCGGATATTCAACCATACCGATATACCGAAATTTCCGATATACCAGAATTTTTCGGTATACCGTGTTAAATTTACCAACTATATGGCGAAACCATAACCTTTATTTTACCACTGAATGGCAATTCAAAGAACTTTCTACTGCAATGATTTAGAATTTCCACTTCAGTGAGATATTACACTGAGTATGTGCATGTCGTTCGAAACATGTTCGAAACAGCTTTGAAATTATCGTTTTCCCTTTTAGAATTACTGAAAATTGCCTTCAAACTTCCATTAAAGAATTTTCCTTTATAATTATCGAAGGAAAACCGGTATATCGATAATATCGGTATAATTTTTTCGGTATACCGATACCGGAAATCATTGTATAAAGAGACATAAAGTATAAAGAGTATTGTAGTTTGGTATGGTTAATTCATTAATGGGCAAAACTTTTCCTTTGACAAGTAACATACTCATCCGAGATGGTCAAACAAAGTGAAATATTAAGTAATTAAAAAATTGTTGTTAAATGAGTCAATTTTACTTCTTTACAGGTGCAACAACATACCTTACCAGTAACGAAAGTGGATCACCCAGCTGGCTCGCGCATGAATGTATTAACTGGGAAGGATTGTACTCTGATGACATGCAGAAGCCTTCAGATACACCATTACTACTCAGGTGGAAAGAGAAATCAGATATCCAAGTCGCAGGCATGTTATCATTTTACATCTTGACCAAAGGAAAGCATCCATTTGGTCCGAAAATAGACCAACTGAAGAATTTGCATGATGACAATCCAGCGGGTTTAAGTAAGCTTACTGATCCTGTGGCCAAAGACCTGCTGTCGCAGATGTTGGCACAGGATCTTGATAAACGACCATATGTAGAGCAAGCCTTGAAGCATCCTTATTGTCTCTCTCTTGAAGAACAGATGGAATTTGTAGCAGCTGTGGGCAACGAACCTCAATTAATGAGTTACAATGGTGTTTTCAGACAGCTGAACAACCTTGATCCATCCAAACCTCGAAGTCCGTTGTTACCAAATGATTGGAAAACAGTGATTGGTTGCGATGACCTCAAGATATTGTGTGAAGAAGGTCACCGCTCACCATCAGCCCATGATGGTAGCCAATATACCGATTGTCTTCAATTGATACGAAACACATTTCAGCATCGGGATGGCAAACTGCATCGATTGAAAAGGAAGCCACCGGCTACTTCTTCCCTTGAGGAATATTTCTTTCAATTATTTCCAACACTCCCGTTTGTTCTTCATCAAATAATCAGAGAGGATCCCGACTGGAAAACACGCCCTGCCTTGAAGGAATTTTTCCCTGTGATAAACCGTCACGCAGTGTCTGGTGCAGACTAAAGCATACACGATATGCCAGGTTGGTATATTTCATTATGGTTTTCATTATTCCTCTATTACCATCAGCGGGAGAGCGACACCCTCCTAGTCAGGTAGTCTGCAAATTATTGCAATAAAGTTGAGAAATTGTTTTATAAAATAACATGTACATAACGCGTATTCTGATTGGTTGAAAGCCGTGTTTGGATCAGGCCATCCAAACACGGAAGACTATCGTGTTGTTGTTATTTTATAAAACAATTACTTTATGGTTTCCGTGTTTGGATGGCCTGATCCAAACACGCAGGAATGTTGCTCGAGTTAAGAAAAGCGGGCAAAATCACTCGCCTTCGGCTCGTGATTTCGCTCGCTTTTCTTAACCCTCGCAACATTCCCGCGTGTTTGGATCAGGCCATCCAAACACGGAAACCATAAAGTAATTGTATATTCCCAGTTGGCAAAACATGAATTGGATAGGAAGCAAATTTGAAAAAATTTGAGTGAAACTGTTTAAAAACTAAGAATAATAGCTAAAATTTGGGGACATTTACGGAAACATTAAGGAAAAACTAAAGGACCAGGGGTATGTCAACACTAAGTATAATGAAAAATATAATGTCGGGAAATTTTATGTGTTTAGGCCCCCCCCATTAAAATAGGGCTAGCTCTGCTCCTGATTACCACATATGAGTCACGTCTTAGGAATAGTGGATTTGCGTTGGGTTCATTGTTGGGCCAACAACACTAGTTCCAGGCTTTTTGCCTTTGCGCGAAAATATGCAAAATGATTATTACTGTAATTGTATTTTCATGTGTTTGTAAAAATACACTGTCAGAAAAGAACAGTTATTTAATAATTTTAATATGGAAAATTTAAGAAAAGAAAACTGTTCGATAGTCTAGACAATAATCTACAATTGGGCGTGTCTGAGTCCTGGGGTGAGTTGTGATATTCGAGGTGATGATATTCGTTTTCATGAATATTTATAAAGCCATATTTACACGCAAATATTACATACATAAACATATATGTTATCAACCAGAGCACCATTTTCCACGATATCGGATAATTTAATGTCTTTAACTCATCATTCAAACTTAAAACAAAACTGTTAGCCATAATAGTTTTGTTTGTGGAAGCACCACGTAAATTTATTACTGCAAAGCTTTCGATCCGTAAGCCTGGATCTTCATCAGTGCTATAAATATGCTAGATATTAATAGCACTGATGAGGATCTGGGCTTACGGATCGAAAGCTTTGCAGTATTAAATAAATTCACGTGGTGTTTCCACAAACAAAACTATTATATGTTTTATCGCCATGAAAACATACAAAGAACTTATGTAAGCCATAACTTGAACGTAGAAAATATATTATTTGTTATATCGAAGTATAAATGTCCATGGATATTTTCGCTACAACTATTATCATAATGTCTATTTATATACATGTAATTATATAAAAGTTGAAAAATTACTTGAGTAGAAGTAGATTGGCCCAAAACATACCAAACTGTTTCCATTTTTATTGAGATTTGCTTACCTTAAGTCTGGTATTAACCAACTTAAACTTTAATATACTTTTAAACTAAAGATAATGAACTGTGTTGTTATATTAGTTTTTCGAGTTTTTTTGTCATCTGCATGTATGCTTATAAATATGGTTATAGTGTAAAAATTATAAATATTGTCATTGTATCTGCATTTTGGATCTTGACCATGTAGAATTGGTCATTCAAAATGCAATTTATCAAGCGATAACAATCAAACCCAATTTGTCAATTTATTATCAATTGGACAACTTCAAAGCGTGGTTAGTGCTTAAACTAATTAAATTTCAGCCCGGGCTGAAACTCAGCCCAGCATGCAAGTAATCGCAAATAATTTCAGCTCAAACTAAAAAACAACCGTTTAAAGGGCTTTATTTTGCGTGTTTGTTTCATTTTTAAATACTTTACATATAACCACAGTCTCACACAAGTCAAATAGTCGATTAATCAGCGTCTGGGTTGTACGAAGGTCGGATAGCGTTATCCACCGGATAGTGATTTTTTCAGCCTTTGTAAAATGCTTGAAAAACTGTGAAACTACGGATATAGGCGACACAAGAAGTATGAAAACATTTAACTTGTAAATACTAAACTTTAATACGAGTTATACCAATCAACGACTGATTTAACAAAGCTTGAAAAAAAATCACTATCCGGTTGATAGCGCTACCCGGCCTTCGTACAGCCGGCCCCTGATTGCTTCAAAGGAGCGTAACACGCTTATTGTCCTATTTCGTGACACATTTCAGCCCGGGTTGGTGATAAATATAGCTCTGACTAAACTCAGCCCGGGTTGAAACTGCTCATGTAATCGAGATGCAATTTCAGCTCGTTTAACCGGGCTGAAACTCGGCCCGGGCTGAAAACTCTCCATGTAATCAGCCCCTAAGAATGTAAGATTATTTCATACAATATTATTCAAGGTGTTCTTCAGGGTGTTCTTAGTGAAAATTTAAATATTACTAAAAAGTAACGTCAAAAACGAATATTAAATTTGAAAATGTATTCTTCAAACGACAGTCAACAGTTCATGAATTTTATCGATGTTTTATTGATGCTTTATGCATGCTTTATATATATGTACAATAATTGTCAATGTGCTAAATATTGGAATATACAGTTTAATTAAAAGTTGCTGTTAATATTAATATATATAATTATATTTACTTTATTTAATTATCATATTATCCCCTGTTCCCCCATTCCCTGTTCCCCCGTTCCCCCATTGCCTGTTCCCCCGTTCCCGCATTCCCCCATTTCCGCATTCCCGTTCCCTATTTTAAAGATAGCCGGTAATTAATAACAATAAATAATTAATTGTACGAACATGTTACGACCTCAGTGCCTTGTACCCAGGGTTCCCCTTGTGCTGGCCGCGTGCTGAAAGAAAGCGAACCCTGGGTCAAAGTCAAAGAGAATCAAAGAGCAAGCTGCCTGGCTGCAAGCCACTCAACGATGGTTCTGGGTATGAGATTGATCAATAAGTAAAGATATATACTTCCATAATGTTTGGTAATCTCCCTCCATTGTGATTCTCAGACGTATACAGTATAGTTGTACATTTTTAACCAGCTATAGAATCTCGAACAGTTGTAAAATCTTAACGATTCTCGACTTGAATTCTGACTCTCGAATAGTTTTAGGCGAAACGGCGCGCCATATGTTATCGTTCCAGATAAAAGACACGGAGTTCACTGAAAACAACAAACAAGTATTAAAGTAACTATTTATTTGGACTGTAAAGAATATTAATATTACCACGAATTCCTGTCTTCCGTGTTCCCTTGGTCGCACAGTTAGGTCATAGAGTAAGGATTGAATATTTAGCCTGTAGGCTACGTGGCAAATTGACGATAGACAACAGAAACGAATTTCAAAGCAAAATAATGGAGAAAGAACGCGAAGAAAATGTTCAAAGTAATGTTGCAATTACAGGTAATACATCAGATTCTGATATATCTGACCAAGTGTTACTCCATCTCTCCCGACGAGAGATGAACAAACTTGTGAAGGGGAGAAGTGACGGAGACGATTTAAGGAAACGTCGTAAGGCGCTGCTGAAGAGAAGACAATCGAGCATCAGAACCAGATCTGAGCAAAGAGAAGCTATGGAGCTTAAGAGGCCACTGGAAGAGAAAACTGAAAGAACCACAGCCTTAAAACCCAAAGATTGGAAGAAAGTTTCTGTGAAGCATAGGGAGATGTTTGAACGGCTTTTAGAAGTGCGGGAAAGTGACCCTGAATCGATAACAACAGTAAATGATAATGGCGTATGTTTCAAAAAAGAGTTCGCAATAGGCAATGGCAGTTACGGCACAGAGGTGTATATTTGCTTGGGGTTTGACGGAATAGAACGAGCGATAAAACGTTTGCCAAAACTATTGTGTGAGAAATTCTTGAAGAATGAACGAGATATCTTGAATTCTCCGAATGCAGTCCAGTCGCCACGAATTGTAAATTATTGTTTCTACGATGACACTTCCAACCCTGATTTCGGTTATTTGATTCTGAACTTGTATGAACAGAATCTTGAAGAATTTATCAGGGAAGAAGGCGAAAGCATGACAGAATCCCGTGCTAAAAAGATGATACGTCAAGTGTTGGAAGGGCTGAAAGCATTACATGCCAGAGAGCCCAGAATTCTGCACAGAGATTTGAAGCCAACTAATATCCTTATTGATGTGAAGGATAATTTACTTCTGTCTGATTTTGGTATTGGACGCTTTTTCCCAGAACAAGGTATTTTCACAACTCACAAGATATATATTTATTGAAGTATACAACCCCCAATAAGTTAGCGTTGAACAGAACTGCCTTGTTCTTTAAAAACTTTATTTTTGACCTGGGATAGTTGACTAAAGACCATGTCAACTCCGTATAAATGTAAACAAATCCTTTGTTTACATTTTGAACTGCTATATTGTAAAATAGAAGATACTAACTGAATAATATCTAACGCTTTTCAGGTTCGCTATTGTAAATGAATATAAACTAGAGTGCGTTTCAATTCAAAAAAGTTCGAATGATGCAAAATTTGGGCAATGTTTATATCTGTGGGTCCCCCTTTCTTATGAGAACTGATGCGCAGATATTCCGAACTTCGCAAATTCGTGGCAAAGCTCAAAAGTTCATAATGAAATTTACAAGCTGATTTGTAAACCCACAATGGGGTGTTTGGAAACCCAGGAACTACAGGATTTTCAGGAACAACAAATCATGATAATTTTTCCGCTAAAACCACTAATAATTATAAATTATGATATGAATATAGCACGTGGAAGTGCATTTCCACACTGCTGTTGTAATAAACGTTTGTTCAAGATGAAAAGTGAAAGGCAAGTCATGGTTAAAATTTGGTTTTGGACTAGGATATTCAATACTGGCCACTGTATTTATTTCTTAAATGACGCTGTCTTTTATTACAGCATGTCGGGGATTTCTTGACCCAAAACGAAAAAGTCGCGTTGTAAATTGTTTTATGAAAATTTTATAAGTTTGATTTATAAGAAAACCCCCAAAATCTCTCGCTATATTCGCTCTCAAAATCGCCTTGTTTACATATTCACTGCAAAGTGTTTTCCCGGAATCTCACCGGAAGTGAGCATGTGAACTTTTGGTGTCTCGATTTCAATTTGCTTTTCAAAACTGACTTCCAATGTTTACTTGCTCTGGTTTACTTGTAAATTCGGAATGTTCGTTGTAAAGTTCCGAAGTTTGTTTCGAAGTTCGTTACGATGATTTACAATGATTCAATAGCAAGCGATTTGATTGGCTGGTTCACTTAACTAGCCAATTACAACTTACTAAACTTGATTATCGTAAATCATCGGAACGAACTTCGAAACAAACTTCGGAACTTTACAACGAACATTTCGAATTTACAAGTAAACATTGGAAGTCAGTTTTGAAAAGCAAATTGAAATCGAGAGTAACTGTTACAAGCAAATGTAAACTATTACTGTTGATGCAATGGAAGTGTTGATAAAATATTGCACCAATTCCTTTCATCAATTCATTTGATAGAAAATTGATCAACTTCCTGTTACTTTTAGATGAGCCAATTAGATTTCGTTTCAGAACCGATTGACCAATAGGAAACGCACAGGAAGTAAAAAGAAATTTGAATTCGTATGAATTGATCGGCATGTTGTAAAACATGGACTGGACCCTGGACTGGACTGGACTTGTAAACTATGGACTGGACTTGTAAAACATGGACTTGTAAAACATGGACTTGTAAAACATGGACTTGTAAAACATGGACTTGAACATCGAGCGAATTTATTATCGATATGTTTGTCTATATGCATGTACACCATATAGAGCCAATGTATTACAAATATGTTTGACAAGATGTTTTATGCATGTACACCCATATAGAAGTCCATGTTTTACAAATCAATGTTTTACAAGTCCATGTTTTACAAGTCCATGTTTTACAAGTCCAGGGACCGGTCCATGTTTTACAACATGCCGAATTGGGCAACTTGAGGAAATGAATTCATGCAATATTTTATCAACACTTCCATTGCATCGACAGTGAGCAAAACTTATATAAACTATGTCCCAATGTGCGTTCTCAACACATCTGGTGATAGTGTGACTACGAGTTCAGATGAAGATATTGAATTTATTATTTAAAAAGCCTTTAAGGTATTTATTTAAAGACTAAAGTCAAGACATCTGCTCACATTTACCACATATTCCGGAAACACGCTATACATCCAGCGTAAAAACATGGTCTATAACGACGACAACTTTGTAATGATTTTGTAAGAAATACAGTTGATTTGATATCGTTGACATATAAATATAGCGTTTATGCCGCTCGTATTGCCATTTGTCGTGCTCCAGCCCGATTTCTGGTTCTGAAACGCGCCCGATTTGCAACCAAAGAGTGAGCGCCAAGCAGGCTGGTCATTTCTCATTGTTTAACTGCCCCACACTCAGGTAACCTTAATACTTTAATACTTGTTTGTTATATGTTGCTTTGCAACATCCGTGTGTCAAAAATTCAATCTGAACAACATTTTTCACGAAAGCAAAAGGGCACTTTGCCACCGGAAAAAAGACAGTTTTTGTGTTTTCTGAAAACTTGAGGGCCTTGCCCCCACCCCGGTTCCTACGCCCTTGTTTACAAATCAAGCATATAGCTAAACATATGCGTATTAAACGCAAGAAAAGACTTTTTATAACGTTCTACCGAGGATCTTGGGACGAGCATGAGTTGAAAAACAAAAATTGGAAACTACTGCTGCTTGCACGCCGTTGTAGAAGACAGCCGTCATGAGGCCTATACTTATAAGTATAATGGTTTCAAACTGTCAAAATTTATGAGTATCGAAAGTTATATTAATCTACCTATAAATCTAGGTGCATTTTACGTGCTCCTAACTCAACTGTATGTCACAGTGGGGATTTAACTTTTTTGCCCCTTAGGGCATGCATTTTTATACATTTTCGTATGAGAAGTAGAATGTTTTTAAATCTTAAATGGGTCAATTTTTCCTCTTTACAGGTGCAACAACCTACTATACTACTAAGGAAAGTGGGTCACACGGCTGGATCGCGTATGAATGTATTGACTGGAATGCATTGTTTTCTAATAATATGCAGAACCCTTCAGATACACCATTACAACTCGGGTGGAAAGAGAAATCAGATATTCAAGTCGCAGGCATGTTATCATTTTACATCTTAACCAAAGGAAAGCATCCGTTTGGTCCGAAAATAACCCAACAGATGAATTTGCATAATGACAATCCGGTGGGTTTAGGTAAGCTGAGTGATCCTGTGGTCAAAGACCTGCTGTTTCAGATGTTGGCTCAGGATGTAGATAAACGACCATATGTGGAGCAAGCCTTGAAGCATCCTTACTTTCTCTCTCTCAAAGAGCAGATGAAATTTGTAGCAGCTGTGGGCAACGAACTTGAATTAAAGAATTCCTTCAATGCTGTTCCCAGTGAGCTGGACAACTGTGATCCATCCAAACCTCGAGGTCGGTTACCAGACAATTGGAAAGAAGTGATTGGTCCCGATGACCTTAAGACGTTGTGTGAAGGAGGTCAAAAGTCCCCATCAGACTATAAACGTAGGCGGTATACACATTGCATTCAATTAATACGTAACACATTTCAGCATCGGGATGGCAAACTGCGTCAATTGAAAAACAAGACACGGCCCATGTCTTCTCTTGAGGAATATTTTTTTGAGTTATTTCCAACACTCCCGTTTGTTCTTCATGAAATAATCAGAGAGAATCCCGACTGGAAAACACTCCCTGCCTTGAAGGAACTTTTTCCTGTGATAAACCGTCGACCGTGCAGTGCCTGATGCAGACTAAAGCATACAAATTGTGTCAGGTTGGTATATATTTCATTATAGTTTTCAGCATTCTTTTATTACCATCAGGGGCGGAGCTAAGGGGGGGGGGGGGCTGGAATACCCCCCTAGTCGTCAGGTAGTCGACAAATTATTGTATTCCGGTCGGGAAATTGTTTTCCCAGTCGGCAAAACATAAATTGGATAGGAAGGAAAAACTAAAATATTTTAGTGAAACTGATTAAAAAATTAGAATTATAGATGAAATTTGGGGAAATTTACGGAAACATTAAGGAAAAACTAACGGACCAAGTGGTATCAGTGCTTTGTCAACGCTAAAGGTAATGAAAAATATAATTTCCAGAATTTTTTGTGACTGAGCGCTGCCAATGAACTTTATTGTTGTATAATTATCACATGTTGTTTCATTTTCGTACCCAGAGCCTTTCTTACGCGCGGTCAACGGAGCGCGACGTGGGGCTCTGGCCAAATCCATATCAAACTGGCATCTGATTGGCTACAACGAATGTTATTGTTCTGATGCCGGATATATTCTTTTACCGTGTTTTTATGGTATCCGGTTATGGATTTGGCCATAGGCATAGCCCCTCGTCGCACCATGCGTAAGAGAGAACTATATGTGAAATGCATTTGTTTATTTTTTAATAGATTCGTCAAGGCCACAGCGTTTAAGTGCTCCTTTCAGGAAAAGCAGTGAAAGATTGATTATATTTTGTATGTGCAAAAAAAGACAATTCACAATTGTCAGTACGTGTCCAGTGATATGCACCTAGTGAGAGTTGTATAAATGTATAAAATTTTAGTGAAAATTTAGCCTAAAAGGAGTTTTAATAATTTATAATAAATAATAAATGAAATATTTTTAATAATATCTTAGTTTGCAAATATATATATATATATATATATATATATATATATATATATATATATATATATATATATATATATATATATATATATATATATATATATATATATATATATATATATATATATATTAATCGTAATTTAGTGACTGATAGGTTTCAAAACAATTTCCATTTAATAAATATAACAGTCTCATTACACCATTCAGGAAAGTACGTCATCTTGGCTATAGAGTCTCGTTTTCGTGTATATGACGATTATAGTTAAGGGGCCATTCACAAAGGATGTCCGGCCAAATGATGGATTTTCAGACCCCCCTCCCCCCCTTATCAGGCATTGTCCGAATTAGTGACCCCCTCCCCCCGGACATCTGCCATGCCTCGCAAAAACTCACGCAACCTTGTAGTATATCAAGAGTAAAAC